TCGCCAAGGGGGGAGGGGGAGGTTAAGGGGGAGGAGGTTTAGCCTGAGTGGGGGGGTGGGGCGCCAAGGGCCTGAGTAAATCTTTTTAAGTTACTGTAAACAACACAAAGAGCGCTCGTATGTAAAAACATTCTGAGTAATTATTACCTCAAAAATGTCAAACTTTACGATGGAGCTGTCAGTTGCCGGATTGCAACACTTGGGTTGCTCAATCCCGAAATATAAAGGGCAACCCTCGTACATACAACAGCTCACAGTGCCTTGCAAAATCATGGGCGACTTCATAGAACGTTAGCAACTCGATTATTTCCAATGCCAATGCCTGTGATCCGCAAAGTGCGCATTTCAGAGGAGAGGGAATGCCCAATCAGAATGAACGTGTGAATCTGGAAATCGCAATATCCCGCTAGTCGCTCCATTTGGTCTCGGCTAGTAAGAATAGGCGGAGGTTGGCGGAATGTGTCCGTCGAGAACAGTTGCGCCACAAGATCTCCCCAGTTGAGCAACGATTCTGTCCCGTCAAGAATATGAGATTTAATCGACCCTAGGCGTAGGGTTGGCTCGGGAGGCGCAGATGGATCCAAGATAATGGGGCTTCTCGCCACTAGATCCATTTGACCTTAATGAAACTATAGGAAAATGTTGAAGTAACAGCATCCACGAATCGACGGTGACCCAGTACAGAAGCCCCATGACTTTGAGGTCAGCGCGGCTGTCGTTGATGCTATGGTGCCCGGTAGGTATAAGGTGAGACGTGTACCGGCAGGATTCGATCGCCGTTGAACAACCTATATGACTCCCGGAAGGACAGTTTCGTTCCTGGAGTGCGCCCTGCATTTGACTTCCACTCTTAATTGTAGTGGCGTTTTGAAAGCAAATGTGGCAGCGGCCACGCGGTGTGCAAGCCAGTGTTTTATCCTCCCAGACAAGCTTGGTGTCTATTAACCGACCCCCGAGTTAATGGTAAGCTTTGTTGGCTTTGACGGTCGCGTTCCAAGGAACGGCGAGGTTTCGATGGAGTTTATCTCTTTCTGGGGTTATCCCCTGTATCATACAGGTGCCTAAAGCGATTCGGAGAGTTTTTTGAGGAGACAAAA